AAGGGGGCTGGGGGGGGGGGGGGGGGGGGGGGGGTGGCTGTCACCAAGGGAAGACTAACTGAGTGGCTCCTGTTGCCTGTCAATATCATTACCACGTCATGGAGTGGAATCTGCTGGAGGGAGAAGCATCTTCGTCACTGTGCTCACCCTACTCTTCCTCCCACGTCCCATTCCCCAGCGTTGCCCTTAGTATTGTCGCATCTGGTGGTCATGCGGTCACCGGCGTGGCAGTCATACCCCGCATCCAAGCTCGCGGCCCGGGTCACACTGAACCCGCCTCTGGCCCTCCTCAGGAAGAAGTCCTGCCCCACAGCCTGGAGTGGGGCACAGGACTCCACCCATTTGCAGCAGACATTCCTCCGTGGCATAGAGCTGGTACCGCTCATACTGACGCCGGGGAAGAGGGGGCAGGAGGGAGGGAGGGAGAGAGAGAGAGACAGAAAGAGAGTGAGAGAGTGCATCTTCAAAAACTCCAAGTACACAGAGGAAACACAGTCAGCTGGCAAGTCGTAGCTCAAAGACTCCACACTAACATGACCAACAGCTCGGCGGTGACATGCCAGCAAACTGACGACACACCTATTCCGCAGCATCACAGCAGTCGAATATACACAGGTCTACCGAGAGCCACGCAAAATAATCATGCAAATTCCCGTCTGTAATGAGAGTTAATTGCCATAATTAATAACCGCTCTGATCACAAAAACACGCCCTTGAAGCCTTGGGAAGGATTTTGGGCTCACTGTCTGGTGGAGGGGAAATGAGGCGGAGGAAGAGAGACAGGGGCAGCCCAGGCAACGGCGCCAGGCCCAGCAGCCACCCACGCCCTCCCCGATCCCGTGACACTGGGCTGCCCCTCCCCACACTGACGACTGGCCTGACGCAGAGCCCAAGTTTTAGCGTAACTCTGTTTGCCTTCTGTATTTTTCTGAAATAAAAGAGGCCTGTCACGTTTGATGGCACGATTTGCATTTGTGTGGGCTTTAAAGTAAACGGATGTGCGGGAGGAGACTGGGGGGCTTAGGATTGAGTCCTGAGCACGAGAATGAGTTACAGAAAAGGGTTGGCGCTCTTTAGCAGCCCCCCGAAAATGCATTTCACAGAATTTTAAGGTGGCAAAGTGCTCTGAGAGCTCAAGGGGGGGGGGGCTGTGTCATTTGAGTTGTTGTAGGTGATGTGGGACAATGGAAGATGCCATTTTGGACAGGTGGGGAGAAACCAATGTGACCATTAATAGTCTGTTTGATGTTGCAACCTGACAGGGAGAACGAAAACAGATTTCCCACGAGACAGGGGTGCGGTCAGGATGGAGCCGTCGCTCACCGGCGCTGAGATCCCCCCCTTCCCCCACCCAGCTGCCAGCCCACAGGGACCAGATCAAAAGCTGAAACTCACCTGCTCTTCACCAAGGACCCGGAAGTGATGGACCTCCTTAATTAGACAGTCTGGACAACCTGCTGAAAGGATGGAAACAGCGAGACAGAGAGAGGAAGAGAGAGTGAGGAGATTGAACGAGTCAAAGCTGCAGCTCTGTGGACATTCAGGCAGCAGGGGTGACCGATTCAGTCCAAGGATAGGTAGACAAAACCATAAAACCAGCCCTACAACCCCAGAATTCAACTCCAATCCAAAGATTATGGGGCCGTTTTGGTCTAGAAACACAGACCACATTATCACTGACAGCTGCATGAGCCCAGATTCGAATGCCCTGACCACCGGAATCATGGGAGTCTCCCCCGTGGGGCTCGAATGCCATTGGCAAATGCATGACCATGAAGACCGATCATATAAGCATGTTGTGACTGCTCAGCAGAGGAGCATGCATGAATATACATGTGAGTGCGGCTGTGCCCGGGCCCAGGTCAGCCAGCCCCACTCTCCTCACTCCTAACAAGCTCCGGATAATGATGCATCTCCTCCACATGTAAATTGTCTGCTTTGGACCAAAGGTGGTGCCTGGGAGTGACAGGCCGGTCTTCATGACGTGGGCTAATGACTCGCTGTCTTCATCGCTCCCCCGCTTCCATTGGCGGCCAGCCGGCGGGAGACAGGTAGCTGGCCGGTAGGGGGGTGGCTTTCTTGAGCTCCCCCCCCCCCCCCCCCCCGCTCAGTGCTGTAGGGAAGCTGAAGGCTGTGAGGTGGGGGAGGGCGGGGTGTCAAACGTTTGGAGGAGATAAACAAACAGCCCTCAGAGCAGGGGTCTGGGTGACATCCTTCCTGGAGTCAGCACCTGGGCCCCCGGAGAATGTTTGTTGTGGCAGCCGGGTCAGAACCTAGCTCTCCGTCATCCTGCCGCCTACAGGGTCGGCTCCACCATGTTCTGCTGGAGCCGGGAGGCATAGGAGCAGACAGGGGCTGTGGGATGGACTGCAGTCAGGGAGGGGCACAAGCCACAGTGAGCAGGGAGTATTTATTCACTTTTGTTTATTTGTATTTGTCTACATGTGGTGATTTTCTATTGCAGATTGTATCCATTAGTGAGAAAAGTGCATTCATTGATAAACAGGAAAGGCTACTTTTGAAGTTCAGTTACATAAAACGCCATCTTTGGAATAATAATGTGTTGTGTTTATGTCTGTATATAAAATCACATTCTATTATATTTGGGTGCACCTTGAATGAGCTGGATGAAGTAAAGCTCTCTAGGGTGTATGACAAAGTCTGCTCAAAAGCTCATTATATAATCTACATGTTCGGATTTTTATCTTACAAAACAAGAACAGAGATGTCTGGTAGAGAGCTTTCTGGAAAAGGAGAAATATTTAAGCAAAAAAGAATTCAAGGGCAAAATGCAGGTACTCAGAGCTTAATATTATTCCCCTGATTCTGAAATGCAGAATTTTCTGGCGCAGAAAATAGGAAATGAGAGGTGGGTTAATGAAACGATCAGCCCAAAGTAGCCAGGATGCAACTGCAGACCCCCAAAGTCCTGTCAGCCTTGTGCTGGGGGAAGCACTATCACACCATGGTGGACTGGCAGGGACGGAAAGGGACATGTCACCTGCAGAGAAGGGGACCCGAGAAACACAACCAGAGCTCAGGGGCCGATTGCCGGCGCAGCCTCTGTCCACCCGTTCCATGGTGAAGGTAATGGGCCATTGAAAACACCACCTGCATGTGCCCCCCCCCCCCAGCTGGGGCATCTGTTCCCAGATAGGTACGCCCAGGTTCAGGGGCAGAGGTGTCGAAACCCGGGACAGGGCGTGGGCTTGGGGTTGCTGGTTCTATACCCAGGGGGAGCTTGCATGTGATCTATTTCCCCACCCCGGTGCGCAGTAGCGAGTAGCGAGGATGGGAGGAAGCTGCAATAGCAGTGGGCCGCAAGCCAACATCACGCTGGCAGGAGAGGGCGCAGGCACCGACACACACAAGGGGGGCATGGGGGCCGCAGAGCCGACAGGAGCAGCCATTATGCATCATAACAAAGCACCTTAAACACCCCCTGAATGGGATTAGCTTGTTTGGGAAACTGAATTCAGGGCTCGTACCGCCCAATGACGTTTTTGGAGTTGGAACTAAGAAACATGTTGGTGTGAGGACCAGGAAAAGGTGTTGGATTTTACAGCAAAAAAACGTTTGTGTCCCTTCCAAGCTGAGAGTCCCCTCACCTCAACTCTCTGCTGATGCAGAATATGGCACTAGCTTCTCTGGACCAGTATGAGCAAGACCAGAGTGGAAGGACACTACATTCCGCAGATCTGAATAGCAGCCGAGCACCGGCACCGCAGTGAGGAATTCGGAAGTGGCGCCGCCCTAGTGATGGAGAATGCTAATGCAGTAATCTCTCCGGGGCCATCTGAAGCTTCACTTTTATCATGCAAATGCCTCTGACGAATGTTAATCAGACAGACAGGCTGGGACATCTTAGGCGGAAGACATCTCACTTTTGTCTAAATGTAATTAGAGATACGGTGGGGGCGCGGCATGACATAACGTTGCCATGGCGACGTGTTGACGGTCCACGCGGGGGAGGGGGGTGCATGGAGAAAAAGAGCGGGAGCATAAGGATGAACACGGGAAGAGGAATGGGTGTGGAGAGCGAGAACGACAGGCTGGCAGAGAGCTGGACACAGAGAGATGGCGACGGGGAAGCCAACAGGCAGTGAGGAAAATGGAGACAGAGGGACAGACAGATGGAGAAACAGACATGAAAGAGAGAGAAACAAAGGAAGATTGTGCGCAGAGATAAAGATGGAGAAACAGATGGAGAGAGTAATACGGAGGACACAGACCCAGGCACAGAGACAAGGGAGATGGTGAATCACAGGGAGACAGAGAGAGGCACAGTGGACAGAGAGACAGGCAGACAGATGGGTGAAGATGGCGGAGGGAAACACAGAGACTGACTGACAAGTGGGAGGCCAGGGAACCCACAAGACCCATCAATGCCCTCAACTGAGCCATTGACCTGCATTTGAACCTGGGTTATGTAAATGATCTTACAGGGAGGCTATGAGAAATGGGGGTGGGGCCTCATGCATACCAGGCAGGACAGTCAGGTGACCACAACTCATATTACGTTACCACATCTGCTGGCAGGTGGGGTGCTTTGTATTTGATCATTCAGATTCTGTGGCCCCACGACTTCCACTCTCTCAAGATCCCCGGTCCGCAAGCCTCATAGCTCAGTCAAGAGGACCTGTTTAAGGGCTCCATTTGCATGCTGGGAATGGTGGATGCCAAGTGGCTAATGTCTGCAAGAGCTAGCAGATGAGACCATGAAGGGTGCGACCAGAAGGGGGAGGCGGCCAACCTGATGCGGCCATGTAACCATCACATCGGTCCAACTGTCATTATTTATCTGCTGTGTACGAAGAAAATGGCCATTTCCCAATGTGTCCCTTTCCTCACAGAGGGGTGGACCATCACTGAAGCCATTACGTCTCTGACTTTGATCAAGGGCTTAATCTTCTGTCATCTCATTGTTCCTCTAATGCCTATACATATTTCAGGGCGGACGCACGCACGCACAAACAGGATAATGAACAATGCTGGCAGATCGTTAAAGCACCATTTAGCAGATTTTCGGGCGATTAATTACAATCCGCCGCGTTGGCGACGATGAGGATGCCGCGGCCGATTTGTCAGGGCCCCTCATCAGCAAACGGCATCGCGTTAGACGTTCGGGGAACGTGTGGCTAAACACGGGACGATGACGGAATCTGGGTGGCAGCCTGAACGAGATTCGGCAGACACCTTAGCATCAAAGTGGCCTGAACATCACAGCCCTGCAGAGACGCCCCCTAAAGGTGCCCAGATGCACTTGTCTATTCTCATTTGATTCTGTGGCCATATCTTGGATATTGCTCGTCGGAAGTCAGGACCACGGGGCAGCGAATGGAATTGGTTTCTTTTCATACAGCACGGACACAGAGAAGAGAGGCTGGGTCCATTCCAGAGCAAATCTGCCCAGGCTTCTCCCACAAAGCAGAAGGACCCTCTTTCCTGTGGTTCACCTGCTTTCCCCCCCCCCCCCAGCCCCCTTGGCCATCACTTTCCTCATTCCAGCCTAGGTGGAACATCCCGCTGAATGAAGACCTCCCCTCCAATGACTTCTGAGACAAGAAGGGGTTTCGGGGGTCACTGACACCCAACAGGCCACATGCTCCCGGCCTGTCATGATGTCATCCCTGATAACGGGCTGTCCCGTTCACTCACCAGCCCCGATGCTGTTTGATAGCCCCTTTTCTGAAGGACTTTGATGCCTCCCCCCCATCCGCATCAGACTTCAGTGGTACTGCATCTGAGAGCTTTGATGGCCCTCATCTCAGACTGACTTTCATGGTCTCGCCTTTGATGTCTCCTCGTGATTCAGTGGCTGCTTGCCCCCAATTATAAGACTAATGGAGACCAACTGTACAGCAAAGCCGATAAACGACAGCACATTGCCCCTCCCACCCCGCGTTTCTGACACGCCGGATTTCAAAGATACGCAATCGATTTCGCACGCATAATCTCACTTCCTAATCAGCATCTGATTGCGGGTTATGAGAGAATGAAAAATTTGAATTTGCATTTGAAAGCACAATCAAAATCAATGGCTTTCATTTAAATTATTTACGTAGACAATCGATATCTCTGTCCGCTCGCGTTTATCTGTCCAAAGGACTGCGGGATCAAGAATTTTCTCCACTGATATCATTAATTAGCTGCGTAAACAGAACATGAAATACATCACTGCCGTTCTGCATTTTCATCACTCCATTTGCCGTTAAATAATCCCTCCTATCCAGCAGTCCAGCATCCAGCATGGAGACGTCATGGCTGAAGTGGGCGAGACTCGTGCCTGCCTGTTAAGCACATGCTTCTGGGATGGCCGGTGATCCGTCGTGGTGCCCTGGTGAACTTCCGGCTCTACTGATGGGCGAGAGCGTAAGCCGTATGATTTGGTTTGATTAAATACACTATAGGGACAAAAGTATTGGGACTCCTGTAAAATTACTGGAATTGACCACAC